GTCAGTACCTGTGAGCAGGGAGCAGGTCCCTGCTGTGTGCAGAAGCCCTGGAAGGCCCTCGCCACACCCCCAACTGCAAAGACGCCTGGGTGGTGGCGTCTGGGGTTTACCCTCCTTGTACTTCTCTGACTTTGGGGGAATCAAGACACAGTGAACATCGTGTGAGAATGTCACAGTAATGCTCGTGACCACAACACCATGCGGAGTGGAACCCTGGCCTGGTGTCATTTCCTGGTTGCCCGCTGCCTCCCTGCCACTCCTCTGTGGCAACCTGGGGCAGTGCAAAGACACAGCTGAGGTTCCTGGACTGCCGGGGTCCAGTCCGACATGCTGGCCAGGGAATCCACGTCCTCGGGGGGTTCTGGCCCAGAGAATGAGATGAGGCAGCAGCCCCTTCCCTCCTTCCACTCCGCAGCCCGAGGGCCGGGTCCCTCAGGTGGGGTGGCGGGCCCAGACCGTCCCTCTCATGCAGTCCAAGCCCCCTTCCCTGTGACAGACCTTCCCTGGAGGAAACCCAATCAGTCGTGACGAATGACCAACACCAAACACGGAGTCCAGGGAAGCGTCGTAGATGTATTTTCATTTCTTTATTAGAAAGAGGCCTCTACGCTATAGCCACCTCTCTCCGCGACTTTACACAGCTTTCTATTTCTTTTCCCCTTAGAATACTGTACAGCTGACACACACAAAAAAATATCCCAAGGCAGGAAAATACAAACTGGCATATTTAATCCAAACGAGGTCATATGAAATAACAAGCAGAGTGAACTGTCTGTCCATGGTTTTAATTACAGTACAAACAACATAAATAAAGCGTCATTGAGCCATCGTGAAACATGGGGTTGCCGAATGAGGTAATATAAAAACGGCCCAAATGACCCCTGTCTCTGGGTGGACCCGGCTGCCCTTCCATCTTCTGTACATGGCTATTTACAGAGACAGCAACGTGCTGCAAGGTGGGCCAAGGTGCGGCCTTCCCTGTCCACCCCAGATAATGTGCCTCTGTGTCACCTCTGATCTGTTCCAGCCCCCTTTCAGAAACAGGCTCCCACGCAAGACGAGGACCAAGGCAGGCCGCTGGGACAGAGGGGCCGTCCACGGGGGCGGCTGTGGCCGCCTTTGGCTCTCCCCTCGGCAGGCCTGGCCGAGGGGGCAGTGCTTTGGGACTCTTCCGCACATTAAGGTCATTCCGCCAACACTATGGAGCAGTTTCTACATCACCTCCTGGCCATCTGGGGCAGCCCGGACCTGCTCCAGCTCCCCGTGTGCCCCTGAGGGTCCTGGAGAGAACGCCGCAGCGGCCCTGGGGGAGGTGGGCAGGGCATGAGTGCTGGCTACCTGGGCCGGCCCCCACTCTCGGCCCCTTGGTCCCCTCTGCTCCCGACCCTGGTGACCTGGCATGCGGCACAGACATTTTCACTGGCTCCTCGGCTGCGGGCAGCAGGCAGTGTCTCTGCACGAGGCCTGCCAAGGCCTCCATGAGCTGGTACTACACAGTGGGGGGAAGGCCCGGGGCTGCTTCCTGGAGCCCACTCTGAGTGGGCGCCCTGGGTGGGCACAGGTCTTCTAAGAGATCTACAGTTGACTCTAGCAGCTGCTTTCAGGGCTAGTGCGGGTGCCACCCGACACTGGGTGACGGGGTATAATGGGCCCCGGGTGCTGCTGCCAGCTGCTGGTGTGTTCAGGGCTCTGCTCTCCCCGTTGTGTCTCCCACCTCTTGGTCCTTCTTCCACCTGCACCCCACAAACAGGCCCCCAGACAAACAGCCCTGAGCCAGCCGGGCTCTCATGTGGGGAGGCGCCTGCTGTGGACCTGCAGCAGCTGAGTGCTGGGTGCCCACCCCTAGGCCCAGGCACTGGGTGGGAGGAGGCCCCCAGACAGGGGCAAACCCCAAACCAAAAAATACCTGGTGATGGAACACGGGAGGGCAGGCTTCCCAAGGTCCCCCTGCTGTGCTGTTGCAGGTGGGAGGTCACTGCACTGAGACACCAATGCTCCTAAACCAGCTTAAAAACCCTTCAGATAAAGACTTGTTTCACAGAATCCCTTTCCAGAATAATCCATGGAGAATAATAACCTCTAATGTCAACCCCGACACAGGATGCAGACCCACGTTTAAACAGCAGCAGATTTACAATGTACGTAGGGAATCTGTTAATATTTTTTAAAAATTTGGGGCAGGGTTGCTTTCCTAAGGGGAGGAGTACTTCTGGTTTGAAACACTAAGGTCTAAGTTGTTAAATGTCATCTTTCCCCCATGAGGTAGGACATGGGCCCTGATGCCTGGTTTCTCCAGTCAGGGACGTCTCGGGTCCAGGGTTACCTCCTGGCAGTGATGGAGAGTCTGAGGGCTGCTGCTTGGCAGCTCATCTACCCCAAGGTGCTGGGCCCCTCCCTCCTCTGCAGAACTGGAAGGAGTTTTAACATTTGGGCTGAAAACAACCTAATTTAGATGCTTGAGTGGCGAGGACCCACCAGGCAGGGCGCAAGCAGAAGAGAGTGCCAATCAGAGGTGCAGCAGGGTCCAGGAGTCCCCTGCCCTGCCGTCTGCCAGCACCACACCTGGGCAACAGGCCAGGCCTGGTGGGCTGCTCAGGGACCCGAGGGGTGGGCTTGAAGGATGCCTGAGGCCTGGGCCCTGGCTTAGCTTCCTGGTGAGGGAGGAGGGGTGGCAATCCCCTCAGATGTACTTCAGGACGTGAGCAACCCGAGTCCCAGGAGGCCGCTGGAGATAAATCCTGTTCCCTTTGAAGGAAAGACGCGTCTCCAGCACATTTCTATTCGAATTCCTTCCTGACTGCTTTTCAATCTGTTTGCTTGGAGGCCATAAATACAACTCAGGGGAGTTCTAGAAGAGTCTCAGTGACCTTGTCAGGGAGAGGGATGAGAGCAGAGCAGATGGGTGGGGAAGCCAGGAGGAGGCCAGGGATCGGCCTGTCACACCTCTGCTGGGGAGAAGCCCCACTGAGGCCAGGATGGACTCGCCCAGGCAGGGGTGCAGACTGCCCGCTCCGGTTTCTTCCCAGAACACTCTAAATGCCGGGAGGAAGAGTAAGGGCCCTGGCACCTAGGACACAGCTCAGGCAGGGGGCTGCGCAGGTCCCCTTTCACCAAATTCAGACACCATGTTGGCCTGGGCCTTGGCGGGGAAGGTGGGTGCCTCAGTGAGCTGGACACTTGCCCTCCAATCCATCTCACAAGCTTGCCTGGTGGGGACAGGGTGGCAGAGCCTAAGGCCACGCTCAGCCAGCGCAAGGTGCCTCCAGGAAGCACTGATCCTTGAGGAGAAGAAAAGGGCACCAAGGTGGGGACCAGCCAATGCCACCAGAAGGGCACAGGAGGGAGAAGGGTGGCCTTGACCTGGGGCAGCATAAGTAATGGCATGGGGCAAGGCTCGGCCCCCTCCTCTGGAGATGACCACCAAGAAAATGAGCAACGTTCTGACAAGTGGGGGCTGAGTGCACTGTCCCCTGCACGCAGGCCCAGTTCCTCTCTCCTGCGCCACTGCCACCTCCCAGGACAAGGGGTGTGAGGACACAGTGCCAGCTGGGGCTGGGTGTCCAGGTGTGTGCTGACTTCATTTCTGTTCCTAACAAACGCTCCCGATCCCTGGGCTTCATCCCTGCCAGGTGTGAGCTGGCGTCCCCCAGGCTAGGTGGAAACCTCTCTGCACCCTGCCAGGTCCACAGGTGAGGGTCGAGCCCGAGGGCTGGTGGCTGCCTAAGGCTGCCTGCATCCTCTGGGGAGAAGGCAGGGCCAGGGCGACTCGTCTGTCGACCAAAGCTCTTTCTCAGCAGACCACATTCTTCCAATGAAGTTACAGCTTGGTGTAGATGTCACAGGGTGGCAAGCCTGGTGTCCACACCGCAAGGCAGAGGACGCCTCTAATCGACCTCATCAGGCTGGGAGAAATCGTGGCAAAGGGAGCTCTCGTGCGTGGACCTGTACTTGAGCTGCAAGAGGCCGTTAGGCCAGACTGGCCTGCAGAGAATGTGCTCAGGTAGGCACTACAGGCAAGAGTGACTCTAGCTGGGGGTGTAGCTCAGTGGGTGCACCATGTGCATGGTCTTGGATTCCACCCCCAGCCCTGGAAAAAAGAGCTCACTCTCTTCTACCTTTCCGGGCTACGTGAACACTGCGTGTCCTTACTAGGAGATAGGACGTGCACCAGTTTAGAGAGCAAAGACTCATGAATCTCTTCCTCCCTCTTGAGCTGCTCATCTCCTGGGGCCGTTACTGGGGTGCCCTCCTCTCCTCTCCCCCCAGCACCTGAGGTCTGTTCATCCTGGTCAGAATCGTAGCCCCTTCCCCTGCAGGGACCCCTGGCTGCTGAAGAAACCCTGCCAGGTCTGTGCCTCACACTTCACAGGTCAGTGACCGCAAAGCCAAGCTGCAGCACTGCCCAGGTGCTGTCCAGATCCCCACGCCATGGGCTGCTCCTGGGCACCCCCAGCTGGCTCTCACCTCGGGAGTTTCTACTCGAACAGAAAGGTCATGTGGACTCTGCAGTGGTGGCTACTCATGTCACCCTCTCTTTAGAGGGTGGAATGGTAGACAGGAAGTTCCAACCCCCTTTCCATACTGTTCATTTCTAACACTGGCTCCTGGCCCCTGCTTCGTCCAGACCCAGCGTTAGTAAGCTTTCAAATGGGAGCAGGAACACTGTCGGCCAAGAAAGGACCAGAACCTGACACAGGCACGTCAACACATTAGCCACCACTCCCCTTTATTTGACAGGAAATCCTCAAAACCCCACTGCTCCTTTTCCATCTGTTGCCAAAATGTGGGATCCAGAAAGTGGGCAGCCTTGGGCCAGGGCAACGTGGCCACAAATGGCAGGGAGGGGCAGGAGGGTGGGAGGGAATGGGTCCAGCACTCAGGCTGTGGAAGGTGAAGTGAGACAAGAAGTCATTTGGGAAAATATTATATTATTAAACACATATAGTATGTACACACTCATATACATCCCAAGAGAAGCCTTACAGGGAATTCCGTTTCTTTTCAAAAGAAGGCTCCACTATGATAAAGCATTCCTAGAGTGGGAATTAACTACAATGAAATAATTTAAGAATTTCATTTATATTCTATCTGTGTTCTCTACAGAAGGTCTACGGTGTATAGAGGCAAATGTGTATAGCGGGACTGGATGCTAATAATGTATTCTTCAAAAATAGGCAATGACATTTTTTTCTCTATTCACATTTAAAATAACTACACAGTGATGAAACACAGAATTAGAAGCCAAATGGAGGGATTATAGAACCACGGTCGAGGTTCTCGGAACTGTGGCTTGCTGCACCTGTGATAGTTCTGGATACCGGTCAGTTCCTCTGAGCTTAATTAACATTAGAAATCTCCGTGAAACACTTACCCACATATAAATTCTGTGTAAAGCTTTATTTTCCCCCACCTACTTTAATTTTTTTTTTTAAAAAGTGAAAGAAGAGGAAAAACTCTTACAAAATATAAGGTTTAATATATGAGAGCAAGGGACTTCTCCAGTGGCTGCTGAGCCAAGAGGGTTCATGTTCCTGTGCTACGTCAGCCCAGCGCCCCGTGTTTCCATGTGACGACCTCCTTCCGGGCCACGTGGCCACAGGGCTCTGGGTAAAGCTGCCCCTTTCGTAATGTAAGGTGCATCGTGGTTTGCTTTTCTGCCCTTGACCACCGCGTTGAAGGGGACCTGAGTCTGAAGCCCCAGATGACCCCATGATGGCAAACTAGTAAAGTGGGGAGGGCCTGGTGCCATGCTGCCCGGGGTTCTCTGGACCCAGGTGGGGCTGGCACCATGGGCAGCTGCTCCCCAGGCGCCTTTGACACAGAGCAGGGTCTGGGGTTCAGAAAATCCCTCTGTCCTGCCAGAGCTCTTTGTTCTGGGTAGGCAAGAGTGGTCTCAGATCTACAACACACCTTCAAAGAAGAAGTCATGCTCCTTCACCCCCTTCCTAATACGAGACGATCCAGTGTCTTTTTTCTTCCCTTTCTCGATTTTAATAAGCAAATTGTACCACCATCTTATTTTGATCTGTTCCTTTTTAAAGGCTGTATATCACATTAATGGAAGTGTTTACTGCTGGGAATATTTTCCATGTACAATGATCTGTAACCCTCTTATCTCAACTAGTTGCACATTATTAGTTCACATCCAGTTCAATTTATAAATTAACAGAGGTGCCATTTGTCTGTACAAAAATCAATGCATATTTATGAACTTCTTTTATTCAAATAGATTTTCACACATCTTACCTAAGGACCTAGGACAGAAGCCTGGGTAAGGCAGGCCGTGCGGCCTGGGAGTGACTGAGGCCCGGCACATCCACCTTGGCCAAAGGACAGAAAATCTCTCTCACTTTCAGGAAAGAAAAAAAAAAATAGCCTTTTATGTATTTACTTAGTTTACCAAATGCACTCAAGAAGCTGCTGTCAGCTAGATTCACCGTTTCCCTTTGAATTTCCAAGTTATTCTTATTTATTTTTTCCATTTTGTTTTTGCACCAAGGAGACTGCAGTCAAATAATACTCAGCAACTGATTTCCTCTCTTTGGACTGAAAAATTAAACAGATACTAAATTATGACAGTGAATTTAGAAAGGAGGGCTCCGAGGGCTCGAAAGAACATGCCTGGGATAATACGATGCTTCTCAGAGTATTGCAATCACATCGCGGCAATCACCGGAGCGTGCCCGTGACTACCTCCTCGGCTAATGTGCTCTCTCCTCAGTGATGAGTAATCATGTCCTATTAAACAGCGGTAATGCTGGAAGAACTCAACTATACAAGCGTAATGAAGCCAGTATTCTCCCTGGACAGATTAGCTACAACTGATTTGACACATACCATCATAGGGGCTTCAGACCTGACAAACTCTGGGCTGGCTCCTGATTTATGCCGTCAAGCTCCTCGGAGAAGAGATGAGATCCGGGCGCTCCGTTGGGTGGAGGTGAAATGGACTCATGTGCTTAACTGCCAGTAGGGGAGGTGCCCCTGCTCCTCGCTCCTCACCTCCCACCCGCTCCTGGCCCTCGTCCCTCGTGCCCTGCTCTGTCCAGGGGCCACCGGGGCAGGGGTCCCACGCCGTGTGCTATCGTCAAGGACCCGGGGCGTGGTCTCCCCCGTGCTGCGTCGGGAGTCCGTCGAAAGGAACCGCCTCTGCAGCCTCCTGGCCTCTTCTTCCACCCTCGAGGATGTCCGGGTTGGGAGGTTTCTGGGGGTGAGTGGGTGGTTGGGCGGGAGGTGGCCACCAGGAAGAGGGAGGGGGACGTGACAGGACTCACGAGCTGTGACTTCCGAGAGTGGACGGCGAGGCGGGGTCCCCGGCGTGGTGGGCAGGGGCGCCGCTCTCAGATGATGCTGGGCACCCTCCCGCCGCTGTTGTTCCGGTTATTGTTCTTCCGCGACAGGTTGGGGGTGGCCATGAGCACGAAGCGCTCGTCGGGGCAGCCGTACTGCAGCAGCACCTCGGTGCACTCCTGGCTGGAGGCCTGCCGGGCGTAGGCCAGCGCCGTGTTCCCGTGGGCGTCGCGGGCCATGACGTCCACCCCGTACTGCGGAGGAACAGACAGCCCGTTAGTGCCCGGGGACCAGGCGGCAGGGAGGGAGGGGCAGCTTCCCCTCAAGCCCTGCACGGGGGAACTGGCTACCGAAGACTGGCTGGGGGCCGGAGGAGCCAGGGTCAGCGGGGCCAGCCGCGCCTGCGCCTTGGAAGCTCACCTTTGCCAGCGGATGCCCTTCCCTGCAACACGAATGGGTTAGGACAACTCTGAATTTTGTTGTTTCTACTTCAACTTTCCATTTGTCAATGAAAAAAAATAATCACTTAAAAAAAATCTCAGCAGCAATTCATTTTCATTGTCGAAAGCACATAACTAGGGCTGGGGATGTGGCTCAAGCCCTAGCGTGCTGGCCTGGCATATGCCAGGCGCTGGGTTCCATCCTCAGCACCACATACAAATAAAAAAAAAATAAAGATGTGTCCACCGAAAACTAAAAAAATAAATATTAAAAAAAAAGAAAACACATAAGTAACACGTTAAGAACACAGGAGGAAAACATCAGCCGTGACCTGGCCACTCAGAGGTCACCTTTGCTGAGTTTAGTGTTTCCCTCTAATGGTTCTTTGAATCTAATGTACATAGTTGTGATGGAGATAAAACTATATATGAATACTCTGTATTTTTTTTTTTAACTGAACACTGGGTGTGATCATTTTCTTACATCATTAAAAATGACTCACAAGCACAGCTCCTAAGAGCCACAGGGTCCTGTGCCAAGGACCCACTCAGTCACTCCATTACTGTTACACATTCTGCTCGAAAACAGTCACTGGTGGAAGAAATGAACTGTGTTGTGTGTGTGTGTGTGTGTGTGTGTGTGCACGTTCTGAGTCTTTCGCAGGACTGTGACTATCAGGGAGAAGGCAAGGAGGGCAAGTCCCTCCTTCTGACACCACATTCCTAGGCCTGCAGCTCATGAGCAAGGCCCTCTGCTGCTTCTGCCAGCTTGCAGCAGCAGGACGCACGGCCCCAGAGGGCTCCTGGACAACTGGGAGGGGAAAGCCACGTGCACTGGGAAGGCTGAACCGTGTGCCTGCCACTGCTGTGCTGGAGTCCCGGCCCCCAGTCCAATTTGACTGGTGTCCTCTAGGAAGAGCAGGAGACACTGGATATGCTTGTCCACAGAGCAGTGACCATGTGAGAAGGCAGGCCACGGGAGACAGCAGCCCTGCTGACACCTTGATCTTGGGCTTCCAGCCTCCAGAGCTGCAAGAAAGTCAGTGCAGCTGTGTGCCGCAGGTGGCTCCCTGCAACCAGGGCTGAGCTGGTCACTGGTTTGCTGTCACTGCAGCCCAGGCAAACTAAAAACACTGCTATTTAGTTTCATTCAGTCTCTACTGAGCCAAGGTGAGGCTGAGGATCTGATTGATTTTTGATTTAGTATCTGCGTGTCTAATTCTACTGCAACCATCAAAAAGTAGGTTAAAGACACAGAGGAAGCTGCAGTCCTCCTCAGTGGTGCCGGACTGGGCTGCGCGGCTGCCTCGGGTGCAGGCAAAGGAACCCCAGCAGGGCGCCCCTCCTCTGACTCCACTGTGGCTCTGTCCAGGTGCCCTGGGCGCTGGTGGAGGACCACAGGCAGGGCCTCTTGTGGGATCATGGTATACCACTTGAGCTTCCATGTGAAGGAAAACTGTTTTCAAGTAAAAATTACTCAGAATATTCCAGAGGAAGCCCCTTGACAAACTCCCACCACCTCAAATTCCAGGGTTTAGGGCTCTACCGTTGCATTTTGTGAATAAAAACACTCAAGGTTTGGCAATGGGGAAACGCCACGGGCCATGAGATCAGACACTTCCCAGGTCCCCAAAGAGGATGGAAATGAAAAAGAGGCCACTGCCATCACTTTTGACTTGAGGAGACGTCAGAAAGATGGATCTTCAGAACCGGCAAGGGCTACACCAAGAGAACCACAAGGAGAGTCCGGTAGGCTTCGCCCCCCCCAACGCCACCTGCTGGGGATGGAACCCAGGGCCGCACACATGCCAGGCGAGTGCTCTCCTGAATGCACCCCAGCCTCACTTCTGCCTCTCATCCTCGCTCTGCAACCCCACACGGTGAGTCCAGAGGGCAGGGGCCACCGCACTTCAGTCCAAATTCCTTCCTAGGACTTGATCCCCACTTTCACGCTGGTAAGGATGGCCTTCCACCAGACAGAGCCCAGCACAGAGAGGGCACGCCCGCCACCTACCCAGATGAGCAGCTGTGCCAGCACCACGTTGCCCTTGCGGCAGGCCAGGTGCAGCGCCGTGCGGCCGTCTCCCTCCCCGCAGGTCTCGTTCACCTCCTCCCGGGAGCCGTGGGCCAGCAGCAGGATGACTGTCCTCAGGTCCTCATCTGCGGTGGCTCGCAGCAGGTGCTGGCCCAGGGGCAGCTCAGTACAGGGCAGTGGGGCCAGGAAGAGTTTCTGCTCATATTTGGCCCGGATCCACCGTTCCTTCTCCTCCCTGCAATGACATCAGACAGACGTGATCACAACCAGGCAGGAGAACCTCGGCTGCAGCCCCTGCCCCTCAACCCCGGAGCAGTGAAGTGTCAGGGCATAGGCGTGTCCACGTGGCAGAGGAAGCTGGGTGGGGGCAGGAGGATACCCACGGTTCCCAAAGTGGTGTCCTCACCTGCAGCAGGCACCCCCTGGCAATGTATTAGAAGTGCGAGTTCCCTGCCCCCCGCCAGCACCCAGGATCAGCACCTCTGGGGAGTTTAACTAGCCCTGCAGGGCTTGTGATGCCCTCAGAGGGTGAAAGCCAGCTCTCTAAGGCCACAGCCTTGACACACCTACTTGAGTTCTCTGTTTTAGTGCAGCAGCTGTGACCCTGAAAGAGAGCTGTCAGGAGTGCCCCTTCCTGTGTGGGTCTACTGAGGAGTTTCCAGGGTGGGAGACCCACAGGCTCCAGGAGGAGGAGCCCACAGCTATCCCTCCCTGGGCTCTGGCCAAGGGTCCTCCCTCCAACCCCGACTCAGTGTCAACTGTGCACTGCGGCTCTGGGCCCTGGCCCGCGGGGTCTACTCTCCGCTGGGCTGATCTGGGCAGGATGGCTCTTCCCAGGTGTCACTGAGGCCCACTCTCTGGAAGGACAGAGAGGTCAGTGGGGAGGTTTTAAAACAGATGGACAGAGCTGGGTGACTTGCGGGCACTTCCGTAATCTCTTCAGACTTGGAAAGGCTTAGTGGAAGAGACAGGATGCCAAGCATTCCTTACACGAACCAGAATAGCCGGGATTTCTGGGGGAAAGCGTTCCAGGGCCCAGGAGAGGAAGCAGGCGGGTGGCTCCCTACAGCCAGCGCTGAGCTGGGGGAAGCTGGGGAGGTCTGGGGTGGGCTCCGGGGCGTGGAGAGCAGGTGAAGAGGGCAGCGGGTCCCTGACTCCTAGCAGCCTGGCAGGGACCGAGCTCTGGAGCTGGGTGTCGAGGGGTCTGTAGAGCTGGGACCCTGCCTGTGACATTGGGTAGGAGGGCTGAGGAAAAAGAGGAGGGGAGAGTGAGGAGAGAAGCCAGGGCAGGCAGAACCCCGACAGCAAGACAAGTGTCCTGGCACAGAGGGAGGGCCCAGGCGGAGGGCCCAGGTCATCGTATCTGGGGTTGGGGTTGGTTTCTCCAGACTCTGGCATTGCTACGGTGAGAAAAGGGAGAGGACCAAGACTCTAAAAAGAACAACGTGGGATCTTGCAAGTCGCTCCTGAATGGTGCAAGGAGCCTGCTCAAGCTTTTTGATGAGGGTGATGAAGATGGTAAGAAAAGCCCCCACACGCCCAGAGCGAGTCACGGAAGCCCCCAGGACACTGAGCCGCAGCCAGCCTCCCCTACAGCCAGATGCTGTCCTGGGCATCACCAGGGTACACAGCTGCTGGCCAGCAGGAATCGCTCAGGCCTCCCGCCCTCCTTCCGCCACAGGCTCTGAGAGCACATCATTCAGGATGTCCAGAAGAAAGGCCTGCTCACACCTTTACCCCTGTTTACACTGCGCCTGGTGATCCAGTGTCGGGTTAGCCCTAATCTGTCGCTAAACACTTAGGCAAACAGATCCTTCCAGGAGCAAACCTGGATTAGTTTTGCTTCACTTCCTGGTCCATGCGAGTGACCCCAGAGTGACCCCTGACTCTTTCATTGGGAGATTTCCAGGACAAACACTGGCCGCGGCCGAGGTTGACCTGTGCTCCACCTGGGCAGACACCCAGGTACAAAAGCAGACGGTGTCCGGAAATTCTGGTGACGAAGAAGAGACAAAAAACCCCAGTGGTTTTGAGATTATTTTAAAAACCTTGCTTATGTTAAACATTTGTTGATGCATTTCATAAATCACAAAAGAGAAAGAGCAAAACGTGAATTAAATCGAAAGGGATAATGGCGTGGGATATGTCCAGATTTCCAAGTTCCAATTTGCTCTCATTTTTTCGGGAGGCATAAAATCAGACCGTATTATTCTGCTCCGATTGATTTTAATAGTCATTGCTAAGTCATCCAGGGTAAGCTGGAGAACTTAGCATAGGAACTCCGGTCCCAACTGCAGTTATTAAATGTTCTTTTTAATATTCAAATACCCCAGCCAAAGACAGAGTGCAGATCCCACAGCTCTGACCCCCCTGCTGGGTCTGGATGTTCTCTGAGGACGGTGGCCACCGGCCTTCCAATGGGGCCACCACAGGAAGCTGTGGCGAATGCTCCACAGAGGGCAGTCACTGACAGCAGCACAGGGTGGGATGAGCTGTTTGCTGCTTTTAAAAACTGGTGTCCTTTGGATTCAGAGTGAAGCCGGGCTCAGGTTTTGCAGGGCGGAAAACGTGCTGTCTGGGGAGCCTTCTTTAAGAGGGGGGCTCCAGCATCATGTGCCCGAAACAGGAAGAGGGCCTGGCAGAGGCCTAGGGGACGGCCTGGCCCCAGGTGATGTAAGAGCCCCCAGCAGGGTGCAGCTGCTGACAGCCACCTGGACCTCTGACCCCAATACAGAAGAGGGGCCAGGCCTCGGGACCGGTGCCGGGAATACTGCAAGAAGACAAGCCTCGCGGACTCTCCACAGGGTCTGCCCTCCTGGCCTCAGTCCACATGGACCTCCACCCTCCACCAAGGATGTCCCAGAGCTGCTCAGTGTGTGGCTGCAATTGTGGCCCTTCACTGAGGCATCGTGGGCTTTTCCAAAACAGTCCTGCAAAGTCAACCCCTGCGTCCCTGGGGACTGTGATCTTTTTTTAGACACCAAGAGGTGACTTCCAGGGAGCTAAGGGAGGCTGCTGGCTTTGCATCTATCAGCCATGACTCTTGTTAGCAGTTTTAACCTGGTTAGTACAAACACAGGGCCGAGGCAGGGACAACTGTCCACGCACTTCCTCCAGTGCATAGGGAGGGAGAAGAAATCTCCAGTGGACGCTGGGCCACAGGCTGCGGATGCCAGCAACAGCTTCGGGGCCTGCTCTCTCCTTCCCACAACTTGGTCCTTCTTTTTTCATCTGTAAAATGGGTCCAGAGATACCTACCCCAGGCCACTTGCTGGCCACAGAGGCCCCTCTGAAAACAGCTGCTGGTATTCTTGAAAAGCACAGAGCATCCGCAGTGGGGCGGCGTGTGCACCCAAGGTGCCGGTGGCCTGGGGCTGGGGCTCCTCGCTGCTGCTGTAGGTACTTGAGGTTCCTAAACGTGCAGACACGAGGGCCTCACAACTCCACGTGCTCAGTGTGGCCAGGTGAGCTGCTCTTGGCTGGGGCCTTGACAAGCCTGTTGGTGTCTCCCAGGCCCCCTAAGGGTACGGAGGGCTCAGAGACACTGGGGTGAAGGGTACTGGGTTACTGAAGTGACCCTGTGCCTGTCACAGTTGGAGGGCTGAGTGGGCTGGCCTTTGCCCACAGATGAGAAGTCTGAAGTTTCCTGGCTGTTACGGACTAAATTGTGCTCCCTGCCCACCGATTCCTATGTTGAAGCCCTAACCCCAGGGACTGGAGCTGGACTCAGGTCTTTAGGGCAGTGGCTATGGCTAAATGAGGGCATGAGGGTGGAGCCCTAAGGCCCTGGGGCAGGTGTCCATCTGAGAGGAAGAGACACCAGGCCTCCCTTGCTCTCTGAGTGCAGGGAGAGCCAGATAAGGATGAGAGGGAACCACTTGCAAGACAGGAAGAGGCCTTGCCAGACACCAATCCTGCTGGCCCCTCGACCTTGGGCCTCCAGCCTCCAGAACTATAAGAGGCAAACTGTAGGTACGTGGCATTTGGACAGGGCATCCTGAGCCATGGACCTCCACTGCCCTTGCCAGGCTTCTGCCCGGCCAACAGGTGACAGGTGGATGCTGCCGGGTATGAGGACATTCTGCCTAAGCCACCACCCTGGGAATCCACGATGCCAGGTGCAGACATGCCAGTGGTCACTCTGACGTCCCGCTCTTCTTCTGTCCCCAGCTTGTCTCATGCACCCTTTCTTTTCCCCAAGGAAGGCCAGTTCAAGAGCAGGAAGCCAGCAGTACATCACTTCGCCTCGTTCCGGTGCCCCGGAGGACCACTGCTCATGGCCTCTGTTAGCTAATGAGCTAAAAAATGAATTATTGGCACAGCTGCCGTCAGCAGGGAGGAGGGGCTGGCTGCTCATCTGATCCTGGTGCTGACACACCTTTAAATAAATCAGCCACTCAAGCGCCAGGGAGAGAGAGCGCCTGCTCATCAGAAGACAGACACCGCCCATCCCCCCAAACGAAAAGACACCTTCAAAGATGCCTTCGTAGGTGTTCTCTTCCTGCTCCCAATGAAGTCTCTTTCTGGGCTGTGGTCAGGAGCTGCCTGGTGCATGGACCACGGTCCAGCCAGGGAACAAGAACCGGACTTGGGGTCAGAGGGTGGCCCTCTGGGTACGTGGGGTCCACGGGGCTCGCATGGACAATCTGGCCCCTGCAGCCTGGTGGCTTTGTCACCCTGATCTTAAGCAGTGGTCACTTGGCCAATTCCTCATGTGTTCACCCCGAAGGGGACTCCCTCAAACACATCTCTCTTGCCACCTGCTACCCGGAAACCCACTGCTGCACCAGTGAAGACCAGGTGCCACCTCCAACAGTCACTGCACTGACCGTGACGATGCTGAGGGTGAGGACAGACAGCACCTGGCTTCGTGGGTCATTCCTGACGACATCAACTCTTCGAGGGACCCTGAGCACGTTACCATCTTCACAAACGAATCGCGTATCAGAAGCAGAACAAAATGTGTGTGAGTTGAGGCCACATTTTGGGAAGTCATGGCCAAAAGGAGTCCAGGTGTCAGGAGGGGGTGGAGGGAACCTGGAGTTGACAGGCATAGCTCCTCTTCTCTGGCACCAAGGAGGCCAGGTGGTGCACGCCACCCAGATCAGATGGGGCTGTGGGGTGCAGGCCAGCCCCCCAGCCTGGCCTTATTGGTTTGCGTGCAGAGGATTCAACACAGGGACGTGTGCGTCCTTGGCACATGCTCTACAGGGAGCCACATGGCAGTCTCGGGCC